AACCTGCCTCAGTGGGAAACAGCTGTTTTGTTAATAAACAATTATAAAAAATAACGAAAAGTGGATAAAAACTGTAAAGAATGATATACATATATATTTATATATATATATATATATATATATATAATATATATATATATATATATATATATATATATATATATATATATATATATATATGTCGTGCCGAATATGTAAAACTGGTCAATTAGCAAGAACTCATTTAAAATTAAGTCCTTTCTAAAGTTTTCTCTTATACGTTTAAAGATATATTATTTTCATTAATGTTAATGTAAAAAAAATTAATTTTGCACCAAAGAATCTTAGAAAACTTATCTAACCTTATTATAACAAGAGCAATTTATTTTAACCTAACCCAACTAAATATATTTTAGATTTGTTTACAATAATTTAATACTAAACAAATACAGTGAAATATATTTTTTTCGTTAGGTTCAGAATTATTTTGGCGAAATTATTGCATACACAAATTTTCACTTGTCCTATATGGCAAGATGAGCGTTGCTATTTAAGCCAAGATCGCAAGTTCTGCCTATTCGGCACGACATATATATATATATATATATATATATATATATATATATATATTATATATATATATATATATATATATATATATATATATATATATATATATATATATATATATATATATATATATATAATATATATATATATATATATATATATATATATATATATATATATATATATATATATATATATATATTTAATATAGGATGGGGTCCACCTCTGGTGTAAATTGTGGGACCCATAGCCTCGGAGAAGTGGATAAAAAGGCTTCAAGGAAGAATATTTGGATTTCTTCCTGAAGCCATTTGAATATTCCACTTCCCCTACCACCCCATCTTTTAAACTATTTTTTTTTACCAATAGGAATATTTTATTACATAATATGGTACAGAAGATTTAAGAGATACATTGTTGATATAAAGGTGGCATATACGGTACATGTTGTTACGTGTGTATCACCGATTATAAGGCGAAAATCTCATCCAGCTCCTCAGAGCTGGGGCGTGTGCCCAAAATGCAGCATGCATTACCCCTTTGAACAGCCGCACTGAGCCGCTGGAACAGAAAACTAGCTGCCCTGGGATCCCTAGTTACCCTGATGAGTCTTTTTCCCAGCTCCTTAAGGAAATTAGATGCACTCTTTCCCATGAGCCAAGGGTCTCTGAGCCTATGGGAACAAACATATAATGATGGGCAAGTTCTCCATATTTTCTAGACTTTTGGGACTCCCTAAAGCTGGCAGCTGCCTCTCCTTCCTCCCTGGTGTATTGGAGATAGGTATCAGCCAAGGTAGATGCACATGTATAGTCCCACACCACCTGCTTCCCATCTGTCCAGGCTTGAAGGGTGATACCATCTGGACGCTTCTGGCTGCCGTCAGATCTGCATAGTTGCGGTGGCTCCCTTACTGCTGGGCATCCAGCTGTTGTGAGGCTCCTCTTGATAATGTTATTAACCTCCTCATGTCTTGCAATCTTTCCCTCGGATTTACGGCACACAAGACCATGGTACCCGAATCGGTCTGCTGCTTCACTGCCACAAATACACCTGTGTTCGGCGAGAATAGGGGCGGCAAGTCGAAGGGCAACACCGATGCGGATGGTCTGTGGGTCGAGGCGTGTGCCAAGGCTGGAGTTGGGAACAGCCAACAAGAAGTCCCCAGCATGAGGGGCTCTCACTGCCAGCAGGCGGGCTCTATCCTTCCCTGTATATATATATATATATATATATATATATATATATATATATATATATATATATATATATATATATATATATATATATATATATTATTATATATATATGTCGTGCCGAATAGGCAGAATTTGCTATCTTGGCTTAAATAGCAACGTTCATCTTGCCATATAGGGACAAGTGAAAATTTGTGTATGCAATAATTTCGCCAAAATCATTCTGAACCTAACGAAAAAATATATATCACTGTGTTTGTTTAGTATTAAATTACTGTAAACAAATCTAAAATATATTTAGTTGGGTTAGGCTAAAATAAATTGTTCTTGTTATAATAAGGTTAGGTAGTTTTTCTAAGATTCTTTTGGTGCAAAATTAAAAATTTTTACATTAACATTAATGAAAAAAATATATCTTTAAACGTATAAGAGGAAAATTTTAGAAAGGACTTAATTTTAAATGAGTTCTTGCTAATTGACCAGTTTTGCATATTCGGCACGACATATTATATATATATATATATATATATATATATATATATTATATATATATATATTATTATATATATATATATTTATATATATATATATATACCTAAAAAGGATAAAGTATAAAATAAATAAAAATAAAAAATATCAAAAATTAATAAATAAAATATAACTTAAAAAATAATCAAAAGTAATTATGAAAATGAAGAAAAAATAATAAAACTTAAAGTTAAACAAAATTAATTATAAATAAAGTATGTTTTATGTACAAAATATTTAAATCCAGGTAAATTAAAGAAATAATAAAATTTTAAACAGTATTTTTAGTCAATAATTAATATTGTGTTGATGTGAAGGAAATAAAGTTTTAAACACATAAATTTTGAAGGAGAGTAAATAATTACTGGTAATGTAGAGTATACATTGTCCATGAGACAAACTGTAGACTGACAGCAGCTCTCAGCTATTCTGTCTGACATTATCTTCTGACAGTTACTGGTAATGTAGAGTATACATTGTCCATGAGACAAACTGTAGACTGACAGCAGCTCTCAGCTATTCTGTCTGACATTATCTTCTGACAGTTACTGGTAATGTAGAGTATACATTGTCCATGAGACAAACTGTAGACTGACAGCAGCTCTCAGCTATTCTGTCTGACATTATCTTCTGACAGTTACTGGTAATGTAGAGTATTCATTGTCCATGAGACAAACTGTAGACTGACAGCAGCTCTCAGCTATTCTGTCTGACATTATCTTCTGACAGTTACTGGTAATGTACAGTATACATTGTCCATGAGACAAACTGTAGACTGACAGCAGCTCTCAGCTATTCTGTCTGACATTATCTTCTGACAGTTACTGGTAATGTAGAGTATACATTGTCCATGAGACAAACTGTAGACTGACAGCAGCTCTCAGCTATTCTGTCTGACATTATCTTCTGAGAGTCAAACAATATACCCAGAACTCACCACGTGGAGGTGGCTGCTCAGAGTTACGTTTTTTTTCCAAGTTAATTATACATGAAGTCGTGCCTGAGCATGACCATCACACAGGCAGGACATAATATATCCTGCGAGGCACTCATCACTGGAGAGGCACTCATCACTGGCGAGGCACTCATCACTGGCGAGGTACTCATTACTTGCGAGGCACTCATTACTGGCGAGGCACTCATTACTGGCGAGGCACTCATTACTGGAGAGGCACTCATCTCTGGCGAGGCACTCATCACTGGCGAGGCACTCATCACTGGCGAGGCACTCATCACTGGCGAGGCACTCATCACTGGCGAGGCACTCATCACTGGCGAGGCACTCATCACTGGCGAGGCACTCATTACTTGCGAGGCACTCATTACTTGCGAAGCACTCATTACTGGAGAGGCACTCATCTCTGGCGAGGCACTCATCTCTGGCGAAGCACTCATCACTGGCGAGGCACTCATCACTGGCGAGGCACTCATCTCTGGCGAGGCACTCATCTCTGGCGAAGCACTTATCACTGGCGAGGTAATCATCATCCTGTGTGGTCATGATTCATGGAGCATTTTCTTCATCCTAGGAATTTCATCCCTTGAACCTTCATCTTTGAAACCCATCTTGCAATCCACTGTATCAAACTTTCCCCAGAATCCTCCCCATCAGTCATATTGTCTTCCAAAATTTTTGACAGAGACTTTATGACGAAGGTTAAATTCGGACGCTGTTTCTCCTCATCCTTCTTCATAAGCTGAGCTAGAGATATTAGGTCCTCTGGACAACCAATATAGGCCAGCATTTCACAGGTATGATGGATAATATCACCTAAAGAATAAACATCAAAACTACTTGATGCTTTCCCTGGATAGTGAGACTCAGGAGGGTAGTGGCAACTTCGTTTCCTGTATATTCTTCGATTAGCTCCCAGGCTCTCGGCTAATCCAAAATCGATAATGTTAACAGTAAAATTACGTGGATCATGCTCATTCTGAATCATGACATTATCCATTTTAAGATTCTCCATGCATGACCCTTGCTATGAATTTCGTTCAGGCTAATGGTCAACTTAATTAAGGCTCGAAGGCATTTGTTGAGAGAACACAGTTCTAAGAAATCATTCAGACGTGAGTTACCCCTACAAGACATCACGAGGATGGTGGGATCAAAGGACATACATAGTGGGATAGGGGCACCACCAGCACCCTCAAGTTACTTAAGAAAGACCGCTTCTTACACAAACTAGAAACTGCATGCCTCGTGAGTAGCCTTCTTGGCACACACAGTTTGGTCTTCAAGGTTAATGCGGTATACAATGGAACTTACTCCACGACCTACCTCCAGCCAGCTATAAGACTTGAAACGGCCTGTAAGTTCCTCGAAGGGAATAATAGAGAATTTGTGACGCAACTATGCTGAAGAAACTGATTCTGACAGAACCTTCAGCAGAGACCTGCTGGTCTCCTCATCCACTTGTCTGATTGCCGTCTCGGCCACACAACTGGTGATCTCTTCAGCTACACACCTGGCAACCTTTTCAGCTACACGCTGGTTGCCTCCAACTCAACTTCAAGCCTGGCGCTTCTACCTCACGATTGGCGGCCTCCACTCAGCCTCAAGGTGGCGGCCTCCAACTCAGCATCCAGCACAGCCTCAAGCCTAGCGGCTTCCACCTCATGATTTGGGGGACTCCCCTCTTAGCCTCAAACCTGGCGGCTTCCACCTCACGATTGGCGGCCTCCAACTCAGCCTCCAGCTCAGCGTCGAGCCTAGCGGCTTCCACCTCATGATTGGTGGACTTTCCCTCTTACCTCACGCCTTGAGGCCCCCAGGTCAGCCTCATGCCTTGAGGCCTCCAGGTCAGCCTCATGCCTGGTGACCTCCAGGTAAGCCTCATGCCTGGTGGCCCCCACGTCAGCCTCACGCCTGGCGGGCTCCAAGTGAGCCGCAAGTCTGGCGGCCTCCAGCTCGGTCCCCCGCATAGCGGCCTCTAGATCAGCCTCACGCCTGGCAGCCTCCAACTCGGCCTCACGCCTGGCGGCCTCCAATTCAATCTCCCGCCTGGCGGTCTCTAGATAAGCCTCACGCCTGGCGGCCTCCAGCTCGGCCTCACATCTGGGAGTCTCCAGTCGGGGCCTCACGCCTGGCAGTCTCCAGCTCGGCCTCACGCCTGGCGGCCCCCAAGCTCGGCCTCACGCCTGGCAGTCTCCAGCCCTTCGGGCCCTTTAACCGGCCCCCTGGCCCGGGCCCCCAGCTCGGCCTCACGCCTGGGGCCTCCAGCTCGGCCTCACGCCTGGCAGTCTCTAACTCGGCTTCACGCCTGGCGGCCTCCAGCTCGGCCTTACGCTTGGCGGCCTCCAGCTCGGCCTTACGCCTGGCGGCCTCCAGCCGGCCTCACGCCTGGCATCCTCTAACTCGGCCCTTTACGCCTGGCGGCCCCCCAAATCGGCCCCTTACGCCTGGCGGCCTCCAGCTCGGGCCCACGCTTGGGAGTCTCCAACTCAGCTTCACGCCTTGCGGCCCCCAGCTCGGCCCTTACGCCTTGCGGCCTCCAGCTCGGCATTACGCCTGGCGGCTTCAGCTCGGTTCGCCTGGGGCCTCCCGCTGGCCTTACCCTGGGGCCTCCGCTCGGCCTAAGGTCTTGCGCCTCCCAGGTGGCCCTTCCCCTTTGGGCCCATTTTGGTACGTGGCATTAGGTCAAAATTTGGCCTTAGGTTAAATACTTTTACCACTCTTTAGGTTTCTTTCTTCATTTTCCATTTTGTAATTATATTTTAATGTGCACGGTCCCTTCTGGGGTTAAAAAATTTGGCATTGCTTTACCTTAAAAATTATATTTTAATTTGATTAATTTTTTAATAATTTCATTTTAGTTTAAAATTTTAAAATTAAATTTGCCTACGAGTAAAGTGGTATTATAGGTTAAATTAATAGGGTGGTTGGTAAATATAAATATTATTATATAAAATAGTTATATATATATTATATATATAAAAATAATTATTATATAAATAATTATTATTAATATGTATTATAATAAATTGATTATATAATTTATTATATAAGATATATTATATAAAAAATATTTATTTTAATAAATGTATTTAAAATAAATAATTATTATATATAAATAATTAATTATATAAATTTTATATTATAAATATTATTATAATATAAGTTTAATATAATGATATTTATTTTTAAATAATTATTTAGATTATTATGATAAATATTTTATTATACCTTTCAAAAGTTTTGCAGTTTTAAAATGATTTGGAATTAAGGGGGTTTTGTTCTTAAGTTGGAAGTGAAAGGGATTAAATGTGGAAAAGGTGTATTTGGAGATTTGGGGTATTTAATGAGGTGATTTTTTATGTGAAGGTGAATGATTTTAAAGGGGAAGATGAGGTGAGATTTGAAGTGGGTGTTTAAGTAAGGAGGGTAATTAAAAAGTTGAGTGTTTGAGGTAGGGAAAAGTTTTTGTTAGGTGATGTATTATGGAGTGAAGGAGGTTAACCCCCCAATGAAGGTGGAGTGTTTTATTAGGTGAAAGGTGAGTGTATTTATAGGTAAAAGTGAGGATTAAGTGGGTTTTAGGTTTGAATTTAAAGTGGTAATTATTTAGGGAATGGTAGTTATTGTTAAAATGTGTGGAATATGAATGAGGAATAGGAGAGAGTGTATTAATAAGTAGATGATTTATTAAGTTAAGGAGGATTCAAAAAAATGCCCCCCAATGATAAAATAGTTTAAAAATATCGATTGGTCAAAAGAGAGGCATAAAGGGCAAATCAAAAGAGGGGGGGGGGAAATTAAAAAACGATATATCAGTTAAGGGGGAAAAAAAAAAAGGGAATTTTAAAAAGCAAAAAAAAATTTATGGGGTTTAAAAGTTTGCAAGGAATCAAGACAAAACCCAAAAGGATTTTTTTCAGTATACAAAAGTAAGATCGGGGACAAGATAGGCCCACTCAAAAGTTCCTCGGTCAGCTCACTGACAGTGAAAGGAAATTGTAGAATTTTAACACATACTTCCTCTCATTTTTACACAGGAGGATACCGGATACCAAAAAATGATAAATTATGTAGAACAGGACGAAAATAAACTGTGCCTATTAGGTCACAAGTGAAGGGTCCTTAGCAAATAGATAAATTAAAACCCTAACAAACCCCCCCGGGCCTAAAAACTGTATGAAGGGTTCAAAAGGAATTAAAGAGGACTTACACACCTTTGGCAATTTTTTCAACATATCACTACAAACTGGCATGGTCCAGAAAATGGAAAATGGAAAATGTATCCCTATTTTCAAAACGGGTGACAGGCCCTTTAGCTTCAAAACTATAACCAATAAGCCTAACCTCCAAGGGGGAAAATTATGGAATAAATAATTGCCGAGGCTTCGACCACCTAAAAAAGCTAAATTAATCAACGAATCTCAGCATGGTTTTAAAAAGGGGATTCCGCCTTACGAATTTTTTTAACTTTTTCACAAAGGTTTTTGGGGGGGGTAATCATGGAATGAATTGAAAAATTTTGTATAGGACTTCAAAAAGGCTTTTAAAGGGGCCCCCACACAGAACTATGGGGAAAAAAAAAGACAATGGAATAGGAGGAAAATTTTTTCCTGGATAAGGCAGGGTTTACAAATAGGCACAGAGAGTTTCATAAATGGGGAGAAATCAGAGTGGAAGCGTCCAAACGGTGTTCCACAGGGGGCAATGTTGGGGGCCCCCCGCTGTTTTACAATCTACATAAACGACATAGATGGGGCATAAAGGCGACATCGGGAAGTTTGCCGATGACACCCAAAAAAGGCGTCGAAATTTATTCTGACGAGGACTTCGAGCATCCCGAAGATTTTAATAGACTGAAGGGGAGTGGTCGGGAAAATGGCAGATCAGTTTAATATAGACAAATGCAAAGCAAATGTTGGACAGGGCAAAAACCAAAGCCACATATAAACTAAAAATGTAATCTTAATATTTCGGGTTGCGAAAAAATTTAGGGGTTCTGGTTTGCAGAATCTGAAAACCCAAACAACAGGCATAATGTTTGCAATAAAAACTAATAGAACCTTGGGTTCTACAAGAAGCAAAAAAAAGGAGTCCTCAGGTTTTCTTTTAACCCTTTCATCCTGGTTAGGCCTCATTTAGATTTGCCACATTTTTGGGCACCCTTTTACAGAATGGGTAAAATTCTCTGGAAAAAGTCAAAAGGAGGAGACAAAGATGATCCCATTATCAAAACCTTCCCAGAGGATAACTAAGGGGCCCCGAAATGCACCCCTAGAAAAACGTGAAATTTGGGGGGGATATGAAATTTAGGGTTTTTAAGTGGAAAGACAGGAATAAATAAAGGGATTAAATAGTGTCTGATAATACAGCCTAACAGACTCGCAGCAATGGTTTAAAGTTGGGAAAAAATTCAGATTCGGGGGAATAGGGAAAATCGGTTTGGTAATAGGTTGTGGATGATGGAAAAACTCCCGTACCGTTTTAGAGGGCCAAACGTGTGTACTTTAAAAAAGGTGGATAAATACAGAAGATGTTGGGGGGGATTAGACCGATAGCTTGGCTAACGGGCGTTTTCCGGTTCCTCCCTTTAGCAAATGACCTTATGTATGTTTAAAATAAATGGGATTATATGAAGGTGTGTGTATTATAGTGAAGATGATGTATTATAGTGAATGTTTGTATTATTTTGAAGGTGTGTATTATAGTGAAGATAATGTATTATAGTGAAGTGGTGTATTAATAATTTTTAAGGGAAGGTGTGTATTATAGTGAAGTGGTGTATTATAGTGAAGGGATGGTGATTATAATGAAGTGGTGATTATAGGGAAAATGGGTGTATTAAGTGAAGAAGTGTATAAATGAGGTGGTGTTTATTAGGTGGTTTTTAATGAAGGGGGTTTTATAGTGAAGGTTTTGGGGTATTAAGTGAAGGGGTGTATTTTAAAAAAAAGGTGGTGTATTATAGTTTAAGGTGGGTGTATTATAGTAAAGTGAGTGTATTATTTGTGAAGGTGGTTTGTTTTTAGTGAAGGTGTGTGTATTATAGTGAAGGTGGTTATTATAGTGAAGTGTGTGTATTATAGTGAAGGTGGTGTATTATAGTGAAGTGGTGTATTATATGAAGTGTGTGTATTATAGTGGGAAAATGGTGTATTATAGTGAAGTGGTGATTATAATGAAGGTGGTGTATTATAATGAAGGTGTGTATTATAGTGAAGGTGTTTTATTAAGTGAAGGTGTTTTAATATATGAAGAATAATGTATTTTATGAAGTGTGTGTATTTAGTGAAGATAATGTATTATAGTGAAGATAATGTATTATAGTGAAGGTGTGTGATTATAATGAAGGTGGTGTATTATAGTGAAGGTGTGTGTATTATATGAAGTGTGTGTATTATATGAAAAATGTGATTTGTAGGTTGAATGTAGTAAGGGATATAGTGAAGATAAGTGTATTATAGTGAAGGTGTGTGTAATTATAGTGAAGGTGGTGTATTAATGAAGTTTTGTGTTTTAGTGAAGATGGTTTTTGGGGGGTT